GGGGGGGGGGCGGAGTGAGTGGAAGAGGGTGGAAGTGGGGCAGAGATGGATGTCTGGGTAGGGGAGTGGAAGAGGGGGAAAGGGAGGCAGAGATGGATGCTTGTGTGTATTTGGAGGGAGAGAGAGAGAGAGAGAGTGAGAGAGAGAGAGAGAGAGAAATGTATGTAGATGGAGTGAGGTCTACATGTACAGTTGTGTACGTATACAGACATAGATTGCAGGGCTTATGGCCAGGGTAGAGAGGGATCGGGCAACAAGCGGGAGGGAAACAGTGGGATAAGGCCAGTGGATTTGTAAAGTTGTATCTTTATTGACAGAGGTAACAGTGTTTATCGTCCAGCGAGAGAGGGACTGAGGGAGAAGTGGGAGCAGAGAATAGTGGGAGAAAGCATTCGATTTGGGGGGTACGAGAGAGAGTGGCAAAGGTAGATAGAGTGGGGTGGGGTGAGGGAACGAGTGATTGGGCAAGAAACGGGAAGGTGAAACACGTGGGGATGAGAGACAGAGGAAGCTCGAGCGGGGAGTGAAATAGAGATCCCTGTCGTCGTTATTCCTGAAAACTTTGTGTTTTTGCAGTAGCAGCATTTTGGAAGAAAACATTGCTAGACATCTACTACTGTGCTCCTTGTCTTCAAAAGTTCTGAAACTTTTTTCGGCAGATGATTGATTGCTTCTGGGTTTGATAGAGGTGGTCCTGTCGGTTGCTGCGACTGCTGCTGCTGCCGCTGCGGCGGATCATGGATCTGAGTTGAAGATGGACAATAATGGCAATAATGGTGTTTTGAAACAATGTCAGATGGGTTTGATTGACTCGGGTTGGGGTAATGGGTGGGTGGGTCTTTCTTTTAGGGATTTGATGGGCAGCGGGGGAGTCGGAGCAGACGGATACGAATCTGCGAAAAGGCAGCGAATGATGGACCCAGGGACGTTCTTTTCAGCACAGGGAATGGGGATGGGATATCAGCCGCAATTAGCTGCATCATTCTTTGTACCGCGGATATTTCCTGTAGTTAAATTGCGTGGGCTGCCTTTCAATTGCAATGAGAATGATGTGATTGATTTCTTTGCGGGCCTGGATGTCGTGGATGTGCTTCTAGCACATAAGGGGGGGAGGTTTTCCGGGGAGGCCTATGTTGTGTTCGGAGCACCGATGCAAGTAGACTTTGCTCTGCAGCGGAATCGACAGAACATGGGGCGGCGCTACATTGAAGTGTTCCGCAGCAAGAAGACGGACTATTACGCAGCGGTGGTTGCTGAAGTCTCTGAATCTCATTCGGACAACCATCATGCAAGTGTCCCCCTGGTTACGCAGCTGGCTGCTGGAGCTATTAGCAGCAGGCCACCGGGTCCCGACAAGGACCAGTTGGAGCATACCGGAGTGCTGAAGCTGCGCGGACTTCCATTTTCCGCTTCGAAGAGAGACATCATGAACTTCTTCCAGGAGTTCGCACTCGTGGAGGATAACATTCACATCGTAATGCACAGTGATGGTCGGTCGACGGGGGAGGCCTATGTCGATTTCTCGGGCCCAGAGGCTGCCAAGGCTGCCATGTGCAAGGACCGGATGACGCTGGGAAATCGGTACATTGAGCTGTTCCGCTCATCTCGCGAGGAAGCCACACGAGATGCAACGCGCAATAATAAGATGTGAAACATATCCACGGAGATGGGAAGTGGCGGCTGCTCTTGCTGATGGTGTGAGGGTTTGGGATATCCGTAGGCAGAGCGGCGATGTATCTTTTTTTGACATACAGGAACTGGGAAAAGGGGTGGGAGAGAGAGAGAGAGAGAGAGAGAGAGAGGGTTCCACAGAGTGGCAGACAGGCATATGGACGAGAAGACCGGCAGGCGTTCTGATGGATATGCGGGTGGTAGGGCTGTTGCTCCTTGCCTGCCTCTTCTGTGCAGAAGATGACGCTGAACCATTGACTGACATTTTTCCCCTTCTTCATAATGATTATTTTCTTCAAGTTGCAAGCATGCTTTTAGCAGATAGGAGTATGGGCACTTATTCCAGCACGCATTGGAGGGGGGCTCCTACCAAAAACAGGAACAAAAAAACACAACGAATGAAAGTTGCACTGAAATACTAACCGAAAAAGTCACAAAAAAAATATCCGGAGGTTGATTGGTACCTTTGATTCCGTGCTGGCTATTCTTTCATGCTGCTTGCTCCTTAAACAACTTTAACAGATTCACTCACAGTCGACAGTTGTGATATAAAGAGATTATATAGATATTATGTGCTTTATTAATCCTATTATAGATTCCCTGCGCGCGCGTGTGTGTGTGTGTGTGTGTGTGTGTGTGTGAGAGAGAGAGAGAGAGAGAGAGAATATGGTAAAGAGCTGTAATTACAGTTAGATTCAACGAACCAAAAATCGTTCAAGAAATTATGTACATATATACTAGGCGGGCCCATGCAAGCACATCAAACTTTCTAGGACAATTAAGGGCACACGTCAGAAAACCTAGGGCAAGTGCATAGCGAAGAGGCAGCAGTCTATGTGGGGCCAGGATGTAGCTTGTGTCTGTGATTAACATCTGGCTGAACCATATAGATTGATTGTTATGTATATTCAATGATGGCGGGCAGATCGACATTGTATCTCGATTTATGGGAGTGGATTCCGCAGTGAGGTCTATGGAATGATTGGAAGATTCGTAGTCCGGTGGATGGTCAGTGGATTCGAATGTGCTCATCTTCTGATTGGTGGCAACACTGCGCCCTATTGATTCTGCTGGGTGATTTGAAGACAGCAACTGGTGGGATGCTGCACCAATATGATGATCGATTGGAGGCGTGCTGAGGTGGCCGACATTCCGTTCTGTGTGCTGCATGGCAGGAGAAGTTCTGGGTCGGTTCTACTGGAGGATTTGAATGTCGAGGAGGACGTGTTTCAAATTTGCTGTGCAGTTGCAATGTTGATTATCAAATCTGCAGTGTACTGAGGAGGGCGAAGAGATGAGCACATATACCTTGATGAGGATCCATGGGTAGCAGGCGGGCGGTATTGTGGAGAGGATTGGATGACCGGTTCAGCCCCGTAGGCTGCTTGCACATATGTACGGCCTGGCGTCGGCGCAGCTGATTCATGCCAGATAAGATATCGTCTCAATTTCTTAGGCACGTGATAACCTTTGCCAGAAGACGTGTCTTTGAGTATAATTAGTCATCGGCAGTGGTTGAGGCGGATAATGGTGGTGAGTGATCACTGATGGATGTACATGTGTGCAAGCAATCTTTGAATCAGAGGATGAATGACATGCGATATGCACTGAGAACCGATCGACTGACACGTGCAGCAGCTGGCCAATTACACTGATGATGTATTGGAAGATGTGGTGAGGAGTGAGCGAGCACATGACCAAATTTGCACACGTCCCAGGAGAACATTGCGAATGGTATCTTCGTGGAACAGTCACTGCCGAGGACCGGTATCTTCGTGGTACATGCACTGCCAAGGAACGGTATCTTCGTGGTACTTCACTTGCAAGTGTCGAGAGAGCAACGAACAATGGGGGTGAAGTGGGTTATGTACTGGCAGCCACTGGTTGGAACGGTGACGAGTTCGCAAAATTTTGTCGATTTGGTAAGAGCCGCAGAGAGCATCCAAAGCGTTCGGATTGGTCGGTGGAATGCCACGTGCGCTACGTATCGACCGGTGATTAGGGATGCACCGTCGTCGGCTGCCGAGGTGTCGGCAGCGAAGGAGCTTTTTGGAGCTAGCTTCTCTGAGTTGCCCCGCAAGTACTTCTTTGTACTCCGGCAAGAATTCATAGTTGTAGAAGCCGCAACCTCCATACAGGCGGTCATGGAGAGAATCCAGTTGTACTTGAACCGACTGTCGGTCTCGTTCGAAGGAGTATGTTTCCAAGTCGGAGATTTCCTAGTGAAAATAGGTAAAGCAATTCAGTCGCAGAACGAGGTCCTTAGAGGGGTAATGATTGAACTAGAGTACATTCCGACGACTTCCTTGGAGCAAAGTGGACCGCTTCTCTCCGAGTTCCTTGCTATATGGCAAGACCTGGCCTCTAACATGTCGCAACCAGGCCGCCTGGTTCTTGTTGAGCCTCAGTACGCTGACTTCGGTCTGTCCGATACTTACTCTCCTCAGCATATGGCGCTACAGTATGTACTCCTCTGCGTTCATTTCCTTGGGTCCATGAGGACCGTGATGTAACATAGCAATTATGGCCACCTGTTTTTCTCCACATTTGGAGGGGGGAAGTTGAATGGGCTGGGCATTTTGAGAGAGAGCAGGAGAAGAAATCCAGTCAGGGTGTCGTTTGACCATCTGCTTTTTCTTTTTCTTTTTTTTTTTTCTGTGCTTTCGAGGGGAAAATGGAATATATGGGCATTCGGGGTATATTATTAGCCAGAAGAAAAAATTCACGCAGGGTGTCACTTGGTTCTCCTCTTGAGAACATAGCTGTAGAGCAGAGAATGAACATTACGAAGTCGAAGTAGAGAAGATAATGTAACGGACGACGGAGCAATTCCTGAACTAATGCGGAGTCTGCGGTCTGGAATCCGGAATCTCAGATGCAGTGTGATTTTATTTTCGTTAAAAAAAAACAAAAAAAAACAGAACCTTATTGTTCTGTCTCCTTACATGTTCCGTGGAGCATCAGTCCGGTTCGTATTCCGCTGGCAATTCAAAAAAAAAAAATACATTGAGAACACTCTCACGCTCCTCCCGATTCTGGTGTGGAGGCCCGAAGGACGGGGCATTGAGCACTGTTTTGTTGAGTGAGATCAGTGTTTGGTTACTTAAAGCCGTGTAGTTCGTGGTCGCAATAGAAAAAGAAGGAAAGCGGAGTTTCTGAGCCAATCCAAAAGTGGAGGTGAAGTTGGACAGAATCTATGCCGGAGAGTGGAAGACGAACCCTTGCCAGACTTTTAGAGTCTGGACAAAGAAGAAAGAAAAATCAGAATGCGGTGAATTCGTTCTATCTGGCATTTTACTATTCAGTGTGCTAAGTGAAATGGAAATTTGAAGGGGAGTGGAAGGCGAGAAGTTGCCGAGAACCCTTGTCAATGAAGTGGAAATTTGCCCGAGAGCGGAAGGAAGATGAACCCTCGTAAATGGAATGGAAATTCTTTAATCTGTGAATGAAAACAGAGTGTGAACACTGTCTTTGGTATCGGGCAACGGTTTCTGTGATTTTTGTTGAGTGCAACAACTTCCAACAAATTGGTCTATTCGTTCGTTGGCTGGCATTTTTGTCGTTTAGCCGGGCAGACGTGAGAGCTGTGACTGCGTAGAAACCATTCGATTTTGAATCTGTTTTATTCTACAATGCGCTGAAGTGGAATTGACAGATTGCAGGGGTGTAGTACTATGATGGGGTGTCGAAGAGTATTACCCTGGGCTGGTAGGGGTGAGGCTCTGATGCTCCCTGTGATGCTTGTTGTGAAGCTGCGCTGGGCTTTACTGCGCACATTCAAGATGCGGCTTCCTCTTCCTGCCTGTGTGGTGTATTGCATTGTGAACTTGGTAGTACACACGACTTGGTGTTTTCTAGGGTGTTGATGAAAACTGTGGATCTTCTTGCTTCTGTCCGTCGAGTGCGTCATTGCCAGTTTTGGAGGCACGAGTGGAAAGTTGTGGGGGTTGAAGATGGTTGTATGTATGTATGTATAGATGAAAATATTGCTGGGCTATGGTGTCGATGAAAACTGTGGAGCACCTTGGTGCTGTCAGTCGAATGCGTCATGGGCAGTTTTGGAGGCACGAGTGGAAACTTGTAGATGGGAAGATGCTTGTTTGTTGTTGTTGTTGTCGTTGCATGCATGCATGCCTTGTTGTGAAACACTACCCGCATCCATGTATTGCTATGAGGGACTTGAAAAGGGATTGACTCGTAAGTTGCGAAGTAATGGCAAGGTGTGAAGTGTGCATCTAGGTTCAGATGGATGCATGGTCCTCACCATCTCCCACTTCTATAAGCCTTACACATATGGGATGGTCTATCGAACAGAAACCAAGTTCCAGTGGACAAGTGCGCGGTCGAAAGGGGCAGGAAGCCGTGGGCGACGGTGATGGAGGCTGCTGCAGCTGCTAGCAGTGGAGGGCCCGCTACCTTATCGAGGTAGAAATGGGCCAGAGCAAGTACTGGGCAAAGGCGTAAGCAACAATCGTGGGCTTCACTCGTGGACGGGAAGGTTTTGGTGCGCAGTCGAACAGCGAGGGGAGAGAGATGGGGAAACTGGCGAAACGCTCACCAACTGCAGATGCTGCTGGAGGGGCTGTTGCGGATAAGAAACAGGAAAGGCGGAAGAAAAAACAGGTCGTGGATGGTTCCTCCAGTCGACAGAAGGGCGTAGGAGAGGAGACGGACAGACGAGGTGTGAACACTGGTGAAGACAACGGTGTCACAGGTGGTGGTGTCAGAGAGACAGTTGTTGAAGTGAAGGTGAGGAAGCAACGCCGAGAAGCAGATGGGGATGAGTGTGTCGCTGCAAAGAAAAAGAAGAAGACGAATGGAGGTGCAGAGGCAATTGTCAAGATGGGCGCAGGAGAGGAGACGGACAGACAAGGCGTGAACACTGGTGAAGACAAGGGTCTCACAGGTGGTGGTGTGAGAGAGACAGTCAGTGGAATGAAGGTGCGGAAGCAACGCCGAGAATCAGGTTGTGATGATAGTGTCGCTGCGAAGAAGAAGAAGAAGAAGAAGACGATGGGAGGTGCGGAGACAATTGTCAAGATGGGCGCAGGAGAGGAGACAGACAAGCAAGAGGTGAAGAAGAAGAAGAAGAAGAAGGTGACGAGTGGTGCAGAGGCAATAGTCGAGAAAGAGGTAGATGCCAATCAAGAAGGCAACCTGGCCCGGACGACGGCCCGAAAGAGGAGTCGAAAACAAGAAGCGGACGTGCAAGGCGATGTTGACAAATCGACGGCTGTCAAAGGTGGCCCTGCAACCAAGGATGCAGAAGAGGCTATGAAAAAAGATGGCCCTGAGAGTGGGTTGCCAAATGATAAGGCTGGAGAAGAGGGCGAGACTGCAGCTGCCTCTGCACAGTCCGATGGTGCAATTGTGTTGGCAGAGCGGAAGGATCGCAAACCTCGACCGACAGACTTCTTGCCGCTCGATGTCGAAAGGGGTGACAGACAGGTGGCAAAGAAGATGAAGAAGAAGAAGGGAAGACAGGAAGATGGCGCTCTTATCCCAGCTGACGGAAAGCCGCGAGTGATCTTTCTTTCCCGTGTGCCGCATGGGTTTTATGAGCAGCAGATGTTGCAGTTCTTTGGGCAGTTTGGCACTGTAACGCGGCTGATACTGTCCCGGAACAAGAAGAGTGGTGCTTCGAGGCATTACGCATTCATCGAATTCCGGTCGCCGGAGGTTGCTGCCATTGTGGCGGACTGCCTGCATAATTATTTCATTGACGGGAAGATTCTGCAGTGCAAACTTGTTTCGCCAGAAAAGGTTCATCCTAAGACATTCTTTCGAGCCAACAGGGTGTTCAAGCCATGGCTTGGTAAGAAGCGGCACAAGGCTGCACATGACCGCGCACGGAATCCGGAGGCGGCAGCAAAGCTCCTGGCCAGACTCAAGAAGTCTGACAAGAAGCGAAGGGAGAAGCTCAAGGCCGTGGGTATCGATTATGTTTTCCAAGGATATGCATCTCTTGTCCCACCGAAACCAAAACATGTGAAGTTCTCAGAGGATGATGAGCCAAAGGCACAAGAGTCGTAGTCACAGGTGAATCTTCCGGTCGATGTTTTGGATTGGACTTCGCTCACATCGGGAAATCCCCACGTGTTGTTAGGACGACACTCATTTATAGTGTGCAGGTGCCAGCATGAAACGGGGCTCGTATCCTGCATCAAGTGGGCTCTTTGCCTTGGGCTTCCCTAAAGAATGCAACTCTTTTGGCTTTGTAACGTGGAAAGACCTTCATTATTGCGCGTCTGTGTGTGAGTTTACGTTTTGTCCGTTAAGGGCGATGGAATGCTCTTGTGACCGTCACCCTTGGAACCCAGGGTCAACAGAGCGGGGTCTTTAGGTAGTGGACGCTCGAGGGTTTCCAGTTTCTCTTACTTGTGCTTGGGTTAGGCTCTTGGTTAGATATTCAGTTTTGCAAGCAGGCAAGCAATGAGGTTCTGTCACTTAGGACTGTAATACTGCTCATCAGCTGGTGTGGAATGCGAGTCGAAGCTCATCGAGAGCGTGAGGCTTTGTTGACCCGACTCTCCTACTCTCCCCGTGCTACTAGACGCTTTCGTCCTTGGTTGGGTAGTGTTTTATTGGCATTGAGGATGTTCGTCTATAATGCAGTTGACGTTGAAGACGGGTCGTGAGGTCCAGTAGAGAGGTGGGGCTTGTATATTTTGTCTGCTGTTTTCAGTCTGCTTTGCGCTTCAGTGTCTCTGCAGTTTGTGAAATGGGGTTTCGCCATTTGGTTTGCGGTTCAGCATATGCGCAGACAGGGCACGTCATCTTGCGCAAGCGCAGAGATGGATTACCGTAAGCAGCAAGCGTGGAAGAACATTGGGGATCTATGGGCGTGCGCTTTTTGCGTGCAGAGGCAGAGGTTGCCAAACATTTTTGCATGGCGATGGTAATGGGTGCGCAGAGGGTGGCTGACGATTGTGGACACACGCTTCTGTGATGTTTTTCAAGTCATGTATAGGTCAAGTACCTACGCTTTGATAAATCAAGCCTTAGCCTGGAGGCACGAAGAAGCCTGGTACTGGCCGTCTGTCCAGGTAATGTTACAGTGAGAGCAGGAAGTCTGGTGAGTTCAATTTCACCTGGCGGATGCGTGCTTCTTCATGAAGAGGGTAAGTGAGGAAAGCGGTAGAGGTGGGTGTGTTAAAGGGCAGGTGATCTGATGGAATTTTGGCATTCTAGTGCGTACTTTCCAGTATGCTGTGTATCTTAGTTGTGTGCATTGACGGTTTACGGACTTGCCCCAGTGGATAATGTCTAGGCCTTTTGCTAGGAAATCTGGTTGTCAGTCAGATGACATACACAGCCTTTCCTACTGCTGCGTTCATCACAGCTGCGTTCTCTCTCTCTCTCTCTCTCTCTCTCTCTCTCTCTCTCTCTCTCTCTCTCTCTCTCTCCCCCGTTTGGCTGTGTTTCGCAGTCACACAGGGGTGTAGCAAATTGGTAATGACAAAGTACTGATGCCCTGCCATTTGCGAAATTGCAGACTAGTGCAGTCAATCAGCAAAAGTAGTCCAGGGATACCTGCAGTTCTTCTGTGAGTTCACAGATTCGGGGGGGAAACGAAATGCCACCACCGCTAGAGGTGGTAGCAAATGGCTCACCCCGGCAGGCCCTCGGGAATTTCGCTAATGGCAGGGCATCGGGGCTTTGTCTTTTACAATTTGCTACAGCCTTGTGTGACCGCGAAACACAGCAAAATGGCAAAGACAGAGAGAGAGAGGGAGAGAGAGAGATTTGGGCTGTGATGAAATGGGGTGGCTGGTGAGGTGAGACTTCAGAACTCTGGCAAATTTGGCTGATTTGCCAAGAAAATGCCCCCTAGTCAGTGTGAGTGGACTCTGCCTAGGCCAAGTCCTGGGTGCTGCAAATGCTGACTGGCCGGTTTGCAAGCAGCTGCAGCTCTCTGGCAGGGGATGGATGTCAGAACAAATGAGCCGCTGCATGCCATGGGGGCTGACCCCCCATCACAGCTGCAAGCTTCTCAGAGCAATCGCAGTTTTGATCGTAAACAACGGTTTTTTGGCACAGTCGTACGCTGCCAGTGCAGGCTGTCGTCTCTCTCAAACATGGCCCGTCCGTGGTAGCAGTGGGATATTATCCTTGTATCAAGCCACAGATCTCAGCAGTCAGCTGGCAGAAAATGTTATTTGACTCGGCGAGTATGAGAAGATGCATAACGATGACCCAGAAAAAACGACAACTCTGTTTTGCGTTTTTGTTTGGGTTTGCCATTCGAGGTCCAGTCGCCCACTTCCTTCGTGGCCGCAAGTCCATTAGTATGTGGTCGTTGGGCCTTTTATGGCGACACGATAACAACCCTGACAGGGACTGTTGATGCTGTGTGTCTGAATGTCTGGAGATGGTTGAATCCAGTGTGTGATGTATTGGGGCGGATGCCGTGAAGTAGCGGTTGGGAAAATAAAAAAGAGAAAAGGAAAGGAACGTAGTCAAATCCATCCCCTTTACAAGCTGCAGATGCTTTGCAGCCAATCCCATGACCTACCTAATCCATGTGAGCGCCCACGATGAGTCTGAGCATCTGGGTATGGTCTGCATACCAAGTCTGCTGTATTGCCTCTGGATGGTTAGATAAAACATGTCAGGATGATCAGTTTAATATCTGATCCGTGGTCCATCGGGCCACATTAAAAAATAAAAATAAAAAAAATAAAGCCATGTCAGGACTTGACCCTTGACAACGACCCCTTGCCAGCATCACCACCACCCACAGAATTTTTTTTCTCCCCGAAAGCTAAGGTGATCTGGCCCAAGAATGACAGCTGGAATGAACTTGTGGAACTTGATGATGCAGGCAGAGACATAGGTTGCGATTTAACACTGCCTGAAGGTTGATGTGACTCGTACAAGAGGTTGTCAGACCGCACGTTACACGTCGCCTTGTGCCCAAGAGTGCTCGGTCAGCGGTAGGGTTCGACGCAGGGGTAAGAGGAAACATCCAATGCACGTGCTTGTTAAAATCAGGAAAACAATGGACAATTCTATGAACCGGGCAAATGCCAAAAAACATTGGATCGTAGAATTTTTGATCCAATGAAGCAGCCAAAGGTGAATCTTTCCTGTAGCACCTCTGGAGAAGGTTGTTATTGCATTGCCACCAATTCGGCATCAATTACAGGTCGTTGACGGGACCGCCACCAATTCGGCGTCGTATAAGCCGTTGGCGGGACCATTCTCGTTGTCCGTGGTCATCTCGATGGGGGCCTTCGTGTTAAGGACAAATTGACAGGTTTGGTTTGAATTGGGAAATGCGACGTCGAGAATCCTCCCAAGCAGCGAAATTTCGCTTTGCGAACCGAGTACCTGTCTGCGATGCAGGACTTTCCAGGGCAGAATTCTTCCTTCTTCTCGGGCAATTAAATGTCAATGCGATTTCTCCAAACGCCAGTCGCAGCGTTGCGCCTCATGGCACCTTCCCCTCATGTTATCTCCGATGTCATCCACCTCCTCACCTTTGGCATCATCCACCTTGTCACCCCACTGAACTCGGTGTAGGGTGCTTCTGTGTTTGCGCCACATTGTTACATGTCATCTCCCATGTGGGTGTCTGTTAGGCGGTACAGTAGTCTACCTCCTTTGCGTTATATTGTGTGCATCCACTGTGGTTCTGTATGCATGCATACGCAGGAGCTTGTGCGAAAGCACATCAACATCCCCCCCACCCCGCTTGACCAGTAAAACATGTGTGAACCTGCAGTGGTGCAGCTAATTGCACTTGCCCGCTGGAGTAATATGCACACCTTCGCTGCATTGGACGCACATACATGCACACAAGTAAAAAGAAGCAGCAGCGTAGGAGAATGGAAAGACGTGAGGGAGAGGAGGCATGTTGAGCAGGCTGAGGAGGACGATGAAGATGACGAGGACAATTGCCAACAGAGGGAAAGGAAGAGAGGGTGGGGCCACTGGAGGTAGCGAACAAACTGGACAAACGGTGGAACCAGTTTAGTTATGTTGTGAACTTGCCCAGCACCTCGTCAAGTGGTGCGTACACGTCCCATGTTTAGAACTGCTTTGGACTGTGTGCGGCCCATTGTCAGAACTGCTTTGGACTGGGTATGGGTCTGTATCTGTGGATTGAGAAATTGGCAGACAAGTCTTTGCTGCACGGCCAGAACTTTGGTGTAGGCGGCACTTTTCGCTGCCTGTTGACTTCCTCAGGGCTTCAGTTTGCAGCAGCACAAAACTGCAGTTTGACCAACCAAAGAATGCACAGAGTTCCGCCTAGCACAATCCCTATGCGGTATCGAGAACATCTAAGCTGTGACAATCGAGAAACACTAGCAATGAAACAAGACGAAAAAAAAAAAAAAAAAAAAAAAAAGAAGGATCGATCAAGGGTTTTCACCAAGTCGAATTCGTATTGCGCCTATATCATTTTCGTTCTCATGAATCGCATCACAAGAAATCATAACCACAGCATTGTTGCCTTTAAACGTGGAACACAAGAATTGCATTTTCAGCACAAGAAAATTGAATTGAATAGAATTGAATTGAATTGAATTGGTTTCAACAATATATTCCACCTCATCAAGTGTAGTATCTGTTCTGATCAGTTCAAAAAAAAGAAAAAAAGAAAAAAAAAAGAAGAAAAAGAATGCACCCGGCCAGTCAACCGCAAGGAGCTTTTTTATATGTTGCAGGTCAAGGTCCAGTTCCTTTGAAGGAACCAATTTGAACCACCGGTATCAGTGACCGGAAATGAAGAATCCTGGTGCGAGAAGAGTCATGTCCCCTTGTAGTCGGAGGCTACAGATCGGCTGCGATCACCCCGTGGTAGTTGGAGGCTACAGATCACCTGTAATCAAATATTTGGCAATCGTTTCTGCATCTGGTTCATTTCCAAAATTAGACTTGCAATTTGAACCACCGGTCCCAAGTATCGGCGGCTGGAAATGAAGAATCGTGGAGGCTACAGATCGCCTGCGGTCACCCGTTGTACAGACAAATTGCCTGCAATCGAAGATTTGGCAGTAGTTTCTGCGTCTGGTTCATTTCGAAAAATCAGACCTGCACTTGGCATGCAAAACTAATCCTCAAATTTAGCATGAAGGGGAACCGTGCAATTGAAGGGATATGCCTGAACGGAAAAAGTGAAGCGCTGAACATATTGGATGTTTGTATCTATGCGTACTGTCTGGATGGGGAATATTGTTGTTGCAGATATCCTTGAGTACAGGTTTCAAAACATGGGGGGGGGATTCTACTCCTTGAAAACAGCAGACCACACCTACGGCTACGGTCTTCACCTGAATAAATCATCTTGTCGTCACATCGGTATCTGGACTGAAATTTGCCGCAAATACAACTTTAAACCACCAGTACGTGGCCCAGCTATCGATGTCGAGCCTGGAATGCCCCTGCGCACCAATTTTTGCCGAATCGCCTGGGTACCGTTTTTGATTTTTTTTTGGCTGGAGCTTCCAGCCATTCCGGCCCGGTAACCCGAAGCCCTTAAGGCGGTCTGCGTTAACGGGAAAGCGCTGCGGCCGACAGCCGGGCCAAGTACTGAGTGTTTAATGACCGGCCGTGGAGTGTGAAGACGGTAGAGATACTCTGTTCTTGAAGCTATACATGGAAAGATCGCTCGCTGACACAATAAAATCAAATGCCCTCTCTTTATTGTGTGCCCTAGATGGGAGCCTAACTGTTTGTATTTATACCATCAGGTGACTCTACTCTCTTATGATCCAATACTCCGACACATGGTCAAGGAACTCGTCCGTTACCCCATTGGCCTTGGCCAATGGTCACAGTGTGGGACACCCCCCGAACAGATGAAATACAGACCCGAACCCTCAAAAAAATTGTATGGGTTTTTTATTTATGCATGCCATCCAGGCGCTTCATCGAAGCCATTCTTCGACTTTCGCATGCTGCTTTCAGGCAGGCCTATAGAAGTCTGTGTGGCGGATCTCAGCTGCGATCTTGGACGATCGCACGTCCGAGATTGGCCGTGCCTGTGAGCCTCCTCGTGGCTGCAGCTGCTCTAAAATGGAGTAGCCCAGAGGGGTGACATGTTGGCTTCAATTCTAGTGTCTGCTGGAAGGATTCCATTTCTTAGCACATGACGTTCTCCACCTTGGCAAAGGCTCGAAGAGCAGACGCTTCGAGGTTTGAATCACACGGGCTCGTCAGCAGAGTCGCTCCGTCCAAGAAATCACAGGAAACACTTCTTTCGCAAACTCGTTTTGTAATACAATCTCACAAAGGTTCCGTTGTACACCGACTCATCAGTGCTTTGGTTCAGTTGATTTCAGGTTGGGGAAAAGTATTCTCGAATATTCAAATCTTGATACAATAATTCTCCATAATAATAAATTGAGTCAAGAGTTAAACTGATAGACCGTAGTATAACGTTCTGTAAGAGTCAACTATTATAATCTATTGGGCTACCTCCTATCACGACAATGAGCTCGCCCGGTCTCTAGGCTGCTCCCATGTAGCCTAGTAGACTCTGAGGCCCAGGCCTGCTGGCAGGCCAATCCCCCCCCTTTTTCATTTGGTTGGGCATCGAGCCCTCTAGCTAGGTGCCTTGCCTTTGCCATCCTGCAGCCGGCCGACGCTCGTCCTTGCCAAAATACAAAGGTCTGTTGTGGCAACAAGGGGGGCGTGTTTTCACAACTCAATGATAATTTTCACGGCCCAACCCTTCCGGTAACCATGCACCCTCGTGCAATGCTCCTTGTAAATTCGCCAAGCTCTGAATCGCGCGGCTTAACATCCGCGTGTCTTTGTTCTAAGTACGATAGGTCTAATTTGTATTTCCATGATCGTACATCCGTGCGCCTTTACCAAACATGGGGAGAGACTGGTCACGCCGCCGGCTCTTGTCGCCACTTCCAGACGTGGCAGGCGGTAGGTTTTAGGTAGGAAGTTTTAGTCTCTCAGTCATAGGTCGGGTTTGAATTAACTTCCGACAGATA